ACGGCCACGATTTCGAGTTGCTGCAATTTGTGTACGACTTGACGATGTGGTCTCGCATTGGCGGGGGGAAGAACGCCTGCGCGGGACTGCCACTGCGCCTGGTCCTGAAAGGCGAAACCTTCTCGCCACTATACTGGAAGAGCAAGCACCAGGCCCTCATCGACATGCAGCGCCAGTGTGGCTACCCATCCCTCTTCAAAACGATGGCGTCGTGGGAGTACAGCTTCCCCTACCACCTCTTCGTCCTGGATGAGATGGAGAAGGGCGGCCGCGGCAGGATGCAGCTGGCTGGCTTGGAGACGCTGCACACAGCCCACGTCTTCACGCAGCTCAATCGCGGCCTCTACTCCGGGCGCAACAAGACCTCGGCGCAGGATGGCTGGAAGGACCACATCCTCTCCGCCGACTCCGTGCCGGAGGAGCGTCGTCCGCAGACCGTGGTCAATTGCCTCGAATTCCAACATGAAAAGCGCAAACTGCCCACCCAGGATTATCATGGGAGCGGCCGCGTCCACAGTCTCGACTACGTCGAGAACGTGGACCAGGTCGGGCTGGAGCGAAAGTTGGCCGCCACCGTGCCCGACGCTGAGGACCAACCCGCGCTGCAGGGCACATGGAAGGCAGACCGCACGGTCGCAGCGACAGTGGCTGGCCGGTGGAGGACGGCGAGTCCAGGTGGGACCCTGATTAAGACAACATCGCGAGGCTTCACCACTCAGCGGAGGACAAGGCGCAGGGGCACCGAGCTTTCTTCCCGGAGACACTGGAGATAACCACCATCAGGACGTCCTCCATGGTAACGGCCAAGGCCTCCTCCTCAGGTACGTGGCCACGTACACGCCCAAGTTCTCGGACAGCTTCGCGCGAGAGTGGCTGAACGACGAGGCTTCTGCCTTCTCTGTCGCGCGTCGCGTCCTCTTCGACTACCAGCCCGCCGAACCGGAGATGTGGCTGTACTTGTTTGCCCAGTGCCGATACGGCGGCACCATGGTCCCACTGATCATGCCATGGCCCGGCATGGAGACGCCCGCGGCGGTGGTGAAGGCTTACGAAGACTCCTCGTGGCGCTGCGAGAACATGAGCCTGCTGGAGTTCTGCCGCAAGACCAACAGTGACGGGCAGATCGCCAAGTGGGTGGTGAAGCTTCACAAGGCCTCAGGTCAGGGGACGTCCGCCCACGGACGATGCGGCCACCAAGCTGCGCAAGCTCCATGCCTTTGCGAACAACTGCCCCACGCGCGGCGAGAAGCTGGTGGCCTGTGACATGCTGTCCGTATTCAATGACCGCTGGTTCGGGCAGTGGCTGGCGTTGCGAAAGCCCTTCCAGCAACTGAACGGCCTCCTGTCCAAGGAGGTACAGGAGAAGGTGCCCTTGCAGTACGCCCACTTCGCCAATGCAGTGCTTCAATGTCCGGACTACTGGGACGATGAGGACCGCGTCCGGGCTGACCTGCAGCTCGAAGCGACGGGCAACGACAAGATCCTTACCTTCCTGGCCAAGGTGAAAGCGCAGCGAGCCCTCGTGGAGAAGTTCATGAACGGCCTCTTGACCAAGGAGGATGAGGCAGGAACCCAGGATGCCCTGCGTGAAGTGGGGCTGCTGCAGGCAGGAACGCCTGGAGCGGAGCATCTGCAAGTTGCTGGACGCAGCCAAGGCCGCCAGGGAGGCGCCCAACGAAGCTGCGTGGGAGCACATTGTGGACGAGGCCGCAGCGAACAGCCGACCGCAGGCGGTTATCGGCCCTCCAGGCACGGGCAAGACCACGGTGATCGACAAGTGCGTGCGCAGATGCCTTCGACAGGGTGGCCGCGTCCTCTTTGCACTACCCACCGCCCAGCAGGCCTCGAGGGTTAGGACGAAGCATCCTGAGGCTGACGTGGACACGTGCGCGGGTGCCTTCTTCCTCTACAAAGACTCCGTGGAGGTCATGGACTGCCTGACTCAGTACGATATGATCGCGGTGGACGAGGTCTCTCAGCTGTCCCAAAAGGATTTCGACCGCATCGTCCAGATGTACCTGCTCTGGTCTTCGCCGGTGACTTCTGGCAGCTCCCGGGCGTCCAGCCCACCCGTGCCACGGACAGCCCCAAGTGGCGTATGGTCCACCAGATCGAGCTCTGGCGCTGCAAAGACGAGACCCTGCGGCAGAAGCTTGTGGCTTTGCGGACTGCCATGCCCACCAAGCAGCTCTTGAAGCGCATCGCCTTGCGCCACAAAGCTTGGTCGGGACATCGGGAGCCGACGGCGTGGGACCTGCAGGAGCTCTACCGCAAGGTGCCCCACACCACCATCGCCACGTGTACCGTAAGGCGGCCGCCCACATGAACGACCTCACCATCTGGGTGCTCTTCACCACCAAGCGGAAGCGGGAGCTGGCGGATCTCAAGGTGGACTGGGAGTCCAACGCTTCGATGACGAGAACAAGGTCGTCCTGGGCCGGCCGCCGGTGCCCTTGCGCATGAAGCTGCACCGTGGCCTTCGGGTGCATCTCACCCGTAATGTGGACAAGCCCGCGGACTTTGTCAACGGCATGGAGGCCACCGTGAGCAGCTACGACCCCTGCTCCCGCTGTGTCCACGTAGTCACCAAGACGTGGCGCAACCTGGCGGTCTACCCCATCACGGACTGGGTGGAAGGCTGTGGCTACGTGACTGCCCACCCAATGCGTCCAGGGTATGCCAGCACTGTCCACAAGCTGCAAGGGGCAGAGCTGGAGCATGTTACCATTTGGCTCGACATCCCCTACATGAAGGCAGCGGGATACGTGGCGCTCAGTCGCGTCCAGCGAGACAGTGACTACTTGCTTGGAGGCATCGTGACACGCAAGCACTTCCTCCCGGCCATGTGAGAGCTCAGGCGCATCTTAGTGTTTCGCCGAAACTTTTGAGGGCCCTGCACGCAGGCAGAAAGTTCTGGCGCAGTCCTGCCCCGCGGGCCCCTAGACCTGTGTGGATAGCTTTCCCAGTTTGCAGTGCGTAGTTGGCGGGAAGATTAACTGCACAGTCCTGCCCTGCAGATTGCCATGAAAATCAAGGTGTGCAACTTCTGTGTCTGTTGGCATGTGAGGCACAAGCATCAAGGAGTTCCAAGTACAGTTCGGCACGCACATGCCAAGCTTGAGCTCATGTGATTGGTTGTGATGCTCTTCTGCTGCCGTCTTTTTTTTGGCTCGGTTTTTGTGTGTCAGGCTTTTTGCTCGGCGCCGCGGTTGCGTTGGCCCCCGCCGGGATGCCATAAGACTTTAGGAACTAAACCCTAAGTTGCTTGAACTCAGGGTGGTCATGGGGTGGGTTGACTGCTACGCACCGATGCGAGCGGCCTGGGTGTGTCCCACACCAG